CCAATTGAAGAATATAAAGCAAAAAGCATTCAAAAGGTGAAACGTGGCTAAATATCAAACAAATGTTACACACCATAATTGTCTTGGCCCTAAGATGGGAATGGTTTCGTTGAGTACGTGGGTGGGGTGTAGAAGTGGAACTGCTCGTGTGTGTTCCGGGGATGTCTCCTTAAATGATCTGGCAATCAGGAGTGATTTTGTTTGAGGAAATAAAGTTGGAAAAGGCCTGTGAAGATCTATGAATTTGAGGGTCAGCAGTTATGTTTCTTCTGCTAGGTTACTGCTTCGCAAACTTGATTGACAAGTTAGAATCATCTGGAGAAATACTCATGCCCTTGGCCTTATATCCAGAGATTCTGATTTAATGGTTCTGACAACCAAATGGTTTTAAAACTGTATATTAGATTCAGTTTAATTCTAACTTTTAAGACAATATACAGACAGGGAGAATATATTTGTTGATTACATAGTGTCTTATAAGGAACTTGTTTAAAAAGTTTCAACAAACTCCAATAAAGCAATAATACAAAGACAAACTCATTATAAATGGGCAAATGTTCTGAATAAAAATTTCTTGAAGAAGACAATACAAATGGCTAGTAAGCACAGGAATGTCATTAGAGAAATGCTTAGCAAACCACCATGAGATACCACTTCATTAGCATGAAGATGGCTATAATAAAAGAAGGGACCATAACAAGGGTTGGTAAGGACCTGGAGAAATCGGAGTCTGTATATACTACTGGTGGAAATGTGAAATGGTGCAATTGCTTTGAAAACAGTTTGTCAAGTGCTCAAAAAGTTGAACTTAAGAGTTATACGTATGATGACTTAGCAGTTCCACTCCTGGTGCACACTTTCACATAAAAACTTCTACACAAACTTCACAATAGTTTTATTCATAACAGCCAGAAAGTAGTGAGTGGAGAAACAAAACATGATACATCCATTCAGTGGGGTATTATTTGGTAATTAAAACAATGAAGTTCTGATACATACTATAACCTGGGTGAGCATGGAACCTGCTATGTGAAAATATGCTAAGTGAAAAAGAAGCCTGACACAAAAGGTCACACAGTGTATGAGTCCATTTGTATGAAATGTCCTGAATAGGCAAATCCATAGATACAGGACGTAAAATAGTGATTGCCTGAAGTTGGAGAAAGGAAGGAATGGAAATAACAGCTAATGAAGATGAAGTTTCCTTTTAGGGTAGTGAGAATATTTTGGAAACAAATAAAAATGATACAGTCACAATTTTGTGAATATACTAAAAACAGAAAAACCCACTAAATCTTACATATTAAAGGGATAAACTTTCTGGTCCTTGAATTACATCTCAATAAAATTTTTACCAAAATAAAAGGAAAGAAAAACAAACAAAAGAAAACAAAACTAACAAACTAAAAAAACAAACAAACAAACAAAAAACCCCAAAAAACCCTAAAAACCAAAAAACCCAGTATCAACTCTGTTCCCTTTGCACCATTCCAGCCAAGACCAAGTCAATGAACTTTTGGGAGAACGAGGAGCTAGATATAGGTTTCTTATTTTATTTTATTTTAAAGAGAAAAAACAGAAAAATCAAGAAACAAACCAACAAAAAACAACAAAAGCAAAATGAGAACAACAACAACAGAAAACAAGAGATAGGAGATAAGAACTTAACAATGGCTGCTATATTGCATATTGCTATCCTCAGAATAATTACTCAGGCTACCAGATACAGGCATGTAAGATTGAGCACACAATATAATTTTCCTTTGAGCAGTTTTTTTTCCTTTGACTATATCTACTGTAACTTTTGAATCTTATTTACTCTTTCATATTTTTATGCTAGTGAGAATATGGGATTTGCACATGCAAATCTGATTTATTTCACTTACAAGTATGGTTTCTAGCATTTGCCTTTGTTCAGAAATATTTTTGGTATTCTAGGTTTCTTTTAGTTTCATATGAATTTTAGGAATGTTTTCTCTAGATCAGTGAGATATCCATTTACCTATAAAAACCTCAAGTCTGTCATTTTTATGGCTGAGTAGTATTCCATTATATAAAAATACCACATCTTTTGTATCCATTCCTCAGTTGATGGGCATTTGGGCTATTTCCAACATTTAGCTGTTACAAATGTGCTGCCACAAACATGGGTGCACATATAGCGCTGTGATATGATGTTTTCAATTCTGGGAAAACACTCAGAAGGGGGATAGCTGGGTCAAATGGAATTTCTAATCCTAGTTGTTTGAGAAATCTTCACACTGATTTTCACAGTGGTTGTATCAGTCTACACTCCCACCAACAATGGAGAAGTGTTCCTTTCTTTCTACACCCCCTCCAGTGTTGGTTATTGGCTAATTTTTTGATCTTGACCATTCTTTCTGGAATGAGAGGATATCTCAGTGTTGTTTAATTTGCATTTCTCTAATGACCAATGATGTTGAACATTTTTCATATATTTATTTGCCATTTTTTTCATGTATTTATTTGAGAATTATGTATTCATCTCAGATGCCCATTTTTGGATTGGGTCTTTAAATTTGGGGGGCCTGTTTTTTTTCAATTCTTTATACATTCTAGATAAAAGTCCTTTACCAGAGAGATAGTTAACAAAAATCTTTTTCCAATCTGTAGATTTTCTTTTCACTCTGTCGGTGATTTCTTTGAGTGTGCAAAAAATTTTAATAAGATGGGGCTGGGGATTTAGCTCAGCGGCATAAGAGCCTGCCTTGAAAGCAGGCAGTTGTGAGTTCGATCCCTGGTACAGATAAAAAGGAAAAAGACAAAAAAAAAATTTTAATAAGATGAGATCTCATTTGTTTATTCTTGAAGTATTTCCTGTGCATTTGGTTTTGTTCATGAACTCTCAGCCTACCCCATGTGCTCGAGATTACTACCTACTTTGTCTTCCAGTAGGTTTAGTGTTTCTGTCTTAATATTTAGATCTTTGATCCATTTTGACTTTAGTCTAGTGCACGGTAATAGGCATGGGTCTAGTGTAAGTCTTCAGCATTTGGAAAGCCAGTTTTTCCAATACTACTTATTAAAGAGGCTATCTTTCTTCCAGTGAACATACCTGGCCCCTTTGACAAAGATAAGGTCACTAAGTGTGTTTGTAATCATGTCTGTATCTTTTGTTCTGTTCCATTGATCCTCAGGTCTGTTTTTTTTCTTTTTTTCTTTTTGCCAGTACCATGCTGATTTTATTATGCAGCTTTGTAGCATAATTTCAAGTCTGAGATTGTGATGTCTCCTGCCTTGCCTTATTGCTCAGGAATACTTTTGGTATTCTAGGTCTCTTTGGTTCCATATGAATTTTAGAAATGTTTTCTCTAGATCTGTGAGGTATGTTAATGGTGTTTTGATTGGGGTGGCATTAAATCTGTGTAACAGTTTTGGAAGTATGGCCATTTTCCCTATATTGGTTTTTCCTGTCCATGAGCAAGGGATGCCTTTCCATTTTCTGAATTCTTCAATTTCTTTTCTCAGAGTACTGAAATTTTCAATGTATAAATCTCTTACTTCCTTGGTTAGATTGATTCCTAAGTGTTTTTTTTTTTAATTGTAAAGGGTGTGGTTTCCCTAATTCATAGGTTTCTTTTAAAATCCTTGTTATAGCAGTATTTATAGGAAACAAAGAGCTATTAAGCATATAGCTCTTTGAAGCTTCCTTCTACCCAAAGCAAAAACAAAACAAAAACAAAAGCATCTCCCCAATCCCACATGAATTCAAATTCCCATTAAATTGTAAATTTCATTTAAATTGATTCTGATACTATTTGTTTCTTTAGTCTAGGTATTGCTTCAAATAATCTTTTATTTATAATGCAAATATGTGATTATTCACATACTCCTAACACAATGGCAAAAAAATGTTTGTATTGAAATTTTAATCGAGATAAAAAATTGGTTCCGAAAGAAACTTGTCTCTCTAGTAGTGAGGTTGATTGTCAGTGCTTCAGTGATCTGTTTCTTAGGTGGTGTGGCCAGCGGGGGTTTAGCTCTGGTTTTAGGTATCCTTTGGTTCAGTGATTCTGAGGCAAACTACCAATGCTTCTAGGCCTCATACAGTCATTTAGTAAAACAAAATAAAACAAACAAACAAAAGAGGCTTATTTTGTCATGTGCCAGCATGATAACAGCTGGAGTTGATAACAGCTTTGGTTTCTTTGCCTTTAAAGTGAGAGATTGAATTAAGTGGTCTCCAGATTCTTTGATCATTTTAAATACTATTTTTGTTTTTTTGAGACAAGTTCTCCTTATGTATGCCAGGCTGGCCTGGTCCTCTATGTCAGCCTCCTGAGGTGATGCCACATAAACAGACCTCGAGCTGTGATTGGAATTTGGACAATAAAACAGATTTGAGGTTGGTGTCACCAACGCCTGGCTTCTTTGATCTTTCTTTGGGTAGTATAAAGGTAGAAGTTGACCAGAGAGAGAAAGAACTCTCATGGTTCCATCCCTTGTGATTTAAGAAAATCAATATGTAAATTTATTGGGGAGGCTGGTCTCTGAATTTGCCGTAGAATAGAAATTAGGGCAAACTCTTGTGGTTTACTATTCTTCTTATCTTTTTCGCCACTCTTGGAATGGCCAAGAAACAGTAAAAATGTTTAAAAAATGTGTAATTCCTTTGCAGATCTAGAAAAGAACTTATTCCACAACTTAAAAGCAAATCTCTGTACATCTGTGTCAGGCTTTAAAATTGCTTCTAAGTCTATCCCTTAATCAGGAAATCAGTCCAGTGTGTGATGCACAATTTGGGAATCTCCATACGGCTTCAAAACTTCTGCGTGCATAGCTGTGGTGCTCACTGTCAACAGAAGGCCACATTTTGCCTTCAGTTGAAAGTATATTCTGCTATTCCATTCAAAGGAAGATGAAAATGTTATAAAAAAGAAAGCCTTTGCTGGAGGCCTGTTTGTTTGATTAATGACTACATCTTGATTTCAGGAAAAGAATGATTCTTATCATCTTGTTCTAACGCTTTTTCTCCCCAGAAAATAAGATTTTGGTGAAGCAGTCGCCCATGCTTGTGGTGTACAACAATGAGGTCAACCTCAGCTGTAAGTACACCTACAACCTCTTCTCAAAGGAGTTCCGCGCGTCCCTGTACAAGGGCGTGGACAGCGCTGTGGAAGTCTGCGTGGTGAACGGGAACTTCTCCCACCCCCTGCAGTTTCACTCCAATACGGGGTTCAGCTGCGATGGGAATTTGGACAATGAAACGGTGACTTTCTGCCTTCGGAATCTGTCTGTGAACCAAACCGACATTTACTTCTGCAAAATTGAGGTCATGTATCCTCCTCCTTACCTAGACGAGAAGAGCAATGGAACCATTATCCATGTGATAGGTAATGGGCAGTTTCCCCTTGATACCATGCCCAGGTCACCTTCTCAGCTGCAGCCCTGAACAGTAGCCAGAACCATGCTGCAGTGATCCCATGGCGTCCACCCTGATAGAGGCCCAGCAAATCATGATATTAGAAAGTGTTTTCATTTACTTTAGAGAAAATCCAAAGTAAAAGATTCAAAGTTTTATATTATATATATGTGTCACATTTTAAAAATTGTTGTACTGAGTATTGAACTCAGGGCCTTTGCATTGAGCTATATTTCCAGTCTTTAAAAAACGTTTTGAGACAGGTTTTTGTTAAGATGTTAAATTGTCCAAGGTGGGTGTGAACTTGTGCTCAGCCTGTCTCAGCCTCCCAGGGTGCTGGGATTACAGGCATGTACTACCACGCCTGGCTTCATTGTTATATATTGGATATCTTTACTTGTCATTGACATCCAGTGGGAGAGTGAGGAATGAAGTTACAGTCTATGGGAAGGGGTCACAGAAGATTATTCTTTTTTTTTTTTTTTTGGCTTTTTCCTTTTTATCAGTACTGGAGATTGAACTCAGGACTGCCTGCTTGCAAGGCAGGCGCTTATGCCACTGAGCTAAATCCCCAGCCCCAGAAGATTATTCTTTTTTTTTGTCTTTTTCATTTTTACCGGTACCAGGGATTGAACTCACGACCGCCTGCTTACAAGGCAGGTGCTTATGCCACTGAGCTAAATCCCCAGCCCCCAGAAGATTATTCTTAATTCAAGTGGGTCATGACAGAAAAGAGGCTGCATTAAAATGCAAGCCAAGGTGCCCTTCAAAAAGCATCTGGGTCTAATGGATCAGGACTCAGGAAGAATGAGTCATAATTCAAATTAATTCTCTTTTTGTGCTCCATGGCTTGCCTCTGTTATGTACCTTTCCATTTCCTGGAACATACTAAGGATGCTGGACTAACCACCAGTGATATGAAATTTGCTATTAAACAACTCGCTGATCTTAGATAAGTTGCTCAACTTTTTTATGGCACCAAACTCAATATTATTAAATGGTATTATGAATGATCGGAGTTGATGTTAAGATTATGCTGTCTTGAAACACTGGGGAAAAAAATAGGCTATGATTTCCAAACACAAAAGAATACAGCTTTGGGGTCAACACTTACGAATGAGAGAAGTTAGGTACATTTTCTGATACATTTTGTGGATATACTGCAGCTTTTTTCCCCCTGTATAATGATAAATACAAAATTTAGCATAGATTTTCTTATTTAATACTAGCATACTTCCAACATACATTTTCCGCCCATGCCAGGACAGAGCTGTGCTAAAAAAAACCCTGAACACTAAGTAATGCAAAATAGAGCCAATTAAGGAAAGAATATTTTGCTTGCCCGGTTCCATGCAGACTTCTAACATTTATAATGCCCAGGCAGAATATATTGGTCAGATAAAGCCCAAGCCTAAAAACAATGTAATTTTGGAAGCTCAGAGTAAAACATTTTTCCCATATAAATAGTATAATACTTTAGGATAGTATTTTATGATATACACATATACACATAGTATACATTACAACTGGAAAGAATACCAGTGATCCCAGACTCAGTAAATTCTAGTTCTCTTTTCATATTATAAAAAATAGGCTTAAGAATAAAACAGATGCTTAGGCCTAATCTTGACAATTAGATGTAATTAATGTGTGTTGAGTAAGGGGCACTGGGTAGTGTTATATTTTCAGATTTCCTCAGACAATTCTAATGGGCCCCAGGATTAGATATTAACGAGCTAGAGAAATATTTTTTGGTATTCCCTCTAGTTACAGTTTTCTCTGACTTTTGTATGAAACTCTCTAGATTTCTTCTCATCCCCTTTCTGAGATCCAAAGCCATAAAGTAACTTGTCTGCCATCATATCTGCTAGACATTTATCTTCTGATTACCAGCCCAGGGTTCTAACTGTCATACTACATGGCTGATTTTCCTCTGGCTTTTTTTTTTTTTTTTTTTGTACAGGGAATTGAACTCAGAACCTTGAGCTTGTCGAGCAGGCGCTATACCACTGAGCTAAATCACCAGCCCTTGGATGACTTTCTTAACACTTAAAACATGTACATGATTGAACTCATTTCAAAGGCGTAGCTGAGTCTTCTAAGGGAGAGAGAGTGGGGTTGGGTTCAGGCCTTGGAAATCACCATTTTAGACACAACAGGCTCAGGAAGGGCAGGGAGATGCAACTCTGGGGTGTGCCACCCTGCAGTGATGGTTTTCAGCAGATCATATCAATGGAAGGGCTGGATAAGTATCCAAGCACAAGTCTAGTCAAGTCACCGTAAACTAATAATATCTTGCATATTTTTATGTCTTTCCCATAGTTCTGTGAGGTTCAGAAGGAGGAAAATGTACCTAGTTGTCTTCTGCTTGCTTAATCCATTCCCTTCTGTTTTCCAGAGAGGCATCCTCCAGAAACCTGTGTCCTCCTGTGGCCTGAGTCTAAGCCCTTGTGGGCAATGACAGTGGTTGGTGGAGTCCTGGCTCTCTACAGTGTGGTAGTGACAGTAGGCCTTTATTTATATTGGGTAAGAGAAACAGCACTTTTTTTTTTTTGTCTTTTTGAGACAGGGTCTCTCTATGCAGTTCATGCTGGCGCTGGGCTCACTTTGTAGCCGAGGCTGGTCTCGAACTCATAATGATCCTCCTGCCTCAGCCTCCAGAGTCCTGGGATTACAGGCGTGAGCCACCACGTCTGGCTGAAACAGCACTTTTTTAATGTAACTTTTCCAGCACATGTGCAATCTGAACACAGCAAGAATCTTGGCTGTGTGGTTTGTTGTCTGTAACATGTGATTATTGTTATTTTATTTTCTCTGCCAGGTTTGAGCAGGCTTTTAGCCTGTTCAGCTTTATCTGAAGCAGCAACCTGATGTGACTTTTACTTTCCAGAGGGCACTGAGTAGGTGGCCAGGCAAAATAAGAAACTGAGTGGTCAAATTAGGATGGGGTTATTAAAGGCTATTACCTTGCTTTTTCTCACTTTGCAGTGTAATTATGGCACATAAACAACTTCGATGCAGACAAAAGCATAAAAATCTAGACAACTCAGGGAGCTAGGCAACTGAACGCCATGAACAGCTTTGGGTCAGGGTCAAAATCATGAGAACTTGAGTACTGAAATTGTATATTCAAACCTAGAAGAAACTAGACCTGTTTATCTCAGTCCTAGTTTTGTCTCTGAAACAGTTGGATTGTCTGCAGCCACAGAGGGTGGTGTCATTATGAAACTATAACAGGAGTTAGGCTTTTCTGTGGTCTCACTGCTGAGTATAAGCATTGCAAATGCTCATGCAGTGAACTTTACTTCCCTCAATGCTGAGCTTCTGGCCTTGTTTGAGCACATGCTGACCAACATACACACTCTTAAGAAAGAACCTAATTAGTAAAACTCTTTTCCTTGGAATTCTCTTAGTTATTGTACACAGTGTGGTACAGAATACCTCACGCATTGCTTCCATGCATCTTTGAATTGTTTCTAGAAGTTAGGTGCCTATGAGCAATTTCTTCAGTGAGAAACATTTGCTTCTCAAGGAAAAGGACACTTTCTGTTGTTATTGTCAAACCATTTAATGTTAAGTATGGTCAGTGCTTGATGAATGCCTATTAGACTGATAAACAGATAACCCTCATGCAAGTCTAATTAAGGACTTAAGCCTGCATGGAGTATGAGACTTATCACTAAGGCAGAGTCCTTACATCTAACTAAGCCATAGATGGTCAGTGATTCCAGGAGGCAATGCTGTGTGAAGCCATCTATGTGGCCCTGTTGCAGGGGACAGTCCTGGATCCACAGTTATGCTGCCCTGTCACCCTGTCTTAGATCGTTTACGTTCTTGTGGGCTTATTGCCAGAACTTGCCTCTTGGTTGTCCCATATGTTCCTTGCATTTCAGAAGGCTATAAGGGACAGATGGACCTTTGTAGCCCGCCTGTTGCTGAACCTGTGCCTTCTGCCAGGCAGGGAACAGAGTGGCTGCTTGTTCTTGGGAATTCTTTATATTGGATATCAAGTTGAGAATTTGTCTGGCATGGCTTCTCAAAGTCTTAATTCTGATGGGGAAGAGGGTTTAGTATGAAAAGACATTGCCTACATTCTGCCTCTGATATTAGTTAAGTATTTTTCATCTTTCTGAAACTTGGGGTCTTTCCTGCTTTGATCCTCTATTGTGGTTGCCAATAATTTTAGATATTTTTTTTCAGTACTAGGAGTCAAACCCAGAGGCATTCTATTACTGAGTTACACCCAAGCTCTTTTTATTTTGAGATCGGGTTTTGCTAAGTGATCAGAAGGGACTTGAACATGCAGTCCTTCTACCTTGCCTCACTTAGTGCTGAGATTATAGGCATGTGCCACTGTACCCAGCTGAATTTTTGAAATTCTTAGTTCTTATTTTTTGTAATCCCTGGTCTTCTGCTTTAACACCTGCTATGTGACACTCTTACCTTCTCCATGGGGATCTTAACTTCCTAACTTAAAAAGCAGATGTAGTAGCCCTTTGAGTACATTTCCAGGAAAGGTACACCTCTGATATGCTGAGCTTGCTCAAATTAATTTCTTAGCATTGCAGGAAGTAGTTTTGGAAACTGCTGCAACTTTCAGTGGCCAAAGGGTACATTACCTGAGACTTAAACATGCATCAGAATGTCAGTTGCTAAAATGAGGTAAAAATTTGCTGAGCAACTGGAATCACCCAAAGGAACAAAAGCGGTTTCTCATTTTATTTTTCTTTGGCAGCACTACTAATTCGTGTTAGATGCATCTTGCTTTGTCCTAAGAAAACATAATTTGGTCTATGTCATAAGCTTCCTGTGATTGGGTAGTATCAGTGCTTGGCAGGCTTTGTCATCTAAGGACACTTACATTCAGGTATCTAACAAGAACACCCTTTATTTTCATCTGAAATCTAGGTCTTTGCATTCTCTAATCAAAGTGAGTAAATAAAAATATACCTGCATTTTATAGATTAGCACAGTGGTTTTACCCCGGAGTCATCTTTTTCTACTGCATCTTTTCCTGTCTAAACAACCAGCCCTTTGATGAGGTAGGTCCCTAGGCCAGTAGACTTTCTCTTAGTTTAGCTCTTGCCTGAGTAATTTTCTGGGATTCTATTTTTGGCTCGTTTTTATTTGCCTTGGTGTAAATCGCTATTTTCTTGAACTTCTGAGGGCCTGGGATGTGCTACTGTAGGCAGTTCTAGGCTGGGTGGGTTTCTGGGAGCAGCTGCAGATTCTATCTCTATTCTTAACCTGATGATAACATTTGAGCAAATAAATGGTCAGGCTGCTATAGCCCAGCACCTGTTACTCTCACTCAGTTCTCTGTTCCCTCAGCTGAGCTCCTAAATGTGTTCTCTTAGTCTAAAGGAACTTTTGAAAAAATGTGCTTTTCTTTATCCCTGTAGACTGCGATGTAGGGGAATAGACATTGTGTGTATAGTCAGCGTCTGGTTTTCAATCCAGCAGATTCTTGAAGACCTTTCCTTTCAGCTGATTACTTTGCCTATGCTGCAGCTTCCAGGAAACAAGTGGGGAGGGAAGAAGTGGAAGGTAGGGCAAAGGAGGGGTGCTCCTGCAGCCACACATCTTTAATAGCTGCTGACTGGTGAAGGGGTGGACATACGACACATGAGGTTTTTACTCTGCACACACTTATGTGCTTGTGCCAGATGAATGTCGACACTGTGTGGGTGGTATTTTCAACATGCGTGTGTCATTTCCATTCCATGATTGTGATTAGTCAGGGTGAAGCTCACATCTACCATGCACAGTGCGCAAGGAATCATGGGATCTGGCTGCAGTGGATCTCCCATCACCTTTATAAGTGACCTGGGATAGCCCAGAGTCAAAACACTTGTGCTAATAGGGCCTCTCCACCAGCTGTAGTCTTGTTGGAGTGACCAAACGTCAAACTTGGGGATTCTGCAAAGGAATTCCTGAGTATTGAAGTAAGTAATAAAAATGCTTCTTAAGATTTTGTCTTCTACGTTTCTTTAGGGGCAGACGTTTCTTTGGCCTCACCACTATTATCATAAAGAAAACTCTTATTCCCAAGAAGTTCTAGTTTCTTATTTTGTCTAAAGAATGTAGAACCCAGGTATTTAAAAAGCAACATATCACCCATACTTTTGGCTTCCATGAATATCTCTGTCTGAATGACTTTCCCAATTATGTGTGTATAATGCTCTTTTCTTTTTTAGTTCGAAATGGATAACCCATCCATCATCTCAGATCTATAGTGACTGAGACCAACTCTTCAAGTCTTTCAAGTCTACTCTTCATACTGTCTTGCTTGACATCTGTGGATGGAACACCATCCTAGTCGACTAGGTTCAAATCACCAGTCACCTCTGGGTTTGGACAAGGAGGGTTAAATGGCATTCATTTTGTGATAGACTGTGCATCAATTGCTTTCTTTTCATCCAGTTCTTTCTCATGACCGGACAGTTTAGCTCAGGATTTTCCAGTATTGGCACTCTTGACGTTTGCCCTTGCTAGTTTGATGTCAGCAGGAGGGTGTTTAGCAGCATTTCTGGCTCTGCTCACTAGAAGACAGTAGTGTCCCTTTCTGTCATGACAACAAAAAGTTGTCTTCAAACGTAACCAGATGTTCCCTAGGACAGGGATGCTAAGGGAGCTCCAGATGTTAAGCATAAGGTTAGGAGGTTGTTTGGGGCAGCTGTATGCAGGACAGTTTCATTTACTGTGATAAGAAACAACAGAAGCAAATTCCCAGGGCAAGATCTTGAGTTTCATCTTGGATTATTGAGTGTTCTTGGGGTCTAGTCTAGAAGAACAGGTGGCACCTGAAGCTGAGATTATGTCGAGAGAATAATGGGAGTGGAGGAGAAGGCCAAGGACCAAGCTATGAGAAATCTTAACCTTAAATGGCTCGAGAAGGATGAGCTTGCAAATGATAGGAGTGACCAGAGAGGCAGGATGAAAATCGGATGCTGCAGAAGACAGAGGAAGAGTGTTGCAAAAGGAAGGGATAGCTGATGGTAGTCTTCCCCATGCCATGCTGGACTGGTTCTGGGACTCCCTTGTACAGCAAAGCCCACGGATGCTCAGGTTCCTTATAGAGAGTGGTGTAATATTTGCACATACTTTAAATCATCTCTGGGTCACTTACAATACCCCAATATAATGTAAATACTATGTAAATAGTTGTTGCATTGTTTAAGGAACAGTGACAAAAACCCATTTTTTTGGGGCACGTTTTCCATCTATGGTTGGTTGAGTCTATAAACAAAGAGCCTATGGATATAGATGGTTTCCAACTGTGTTGATGGCTGCTGAATATTCAAGAAGATAAGGACTAAAAACATGTTGCATTTTGTATAACATGGAGAGCAGTGTTTTTAAAATCCTTTTGGGGGGCACTTAACCTCGCTTCTTTGACAAGGAAGTGGTGAAGGGCTCATGCAGGAGTGAATAGAAATGAAGCTGGGATGGAAGTCATTCACTCATCGATTTCTCCAGGGATTCTTGGCATGCGTGTCCGTCTGTGTATCTACTTACTTATCACCATCAGGCCTGTGCACCAGGAAATAGGCACTTTTTCCCATATGAGAGAACTCGAATCCTGAAATCCAGGTGGCTATTTTTAGAATTTTTATGTGTCTGTTGTCAAACATGGGATTTTCCCACCACATTAATCCAGAAATGGTGCTCCTAGGCTGAGGTGAAAACTTTGCCACAATTTGTGGTAAGTGTGACATTGGGGTTGGTCCTATTTCCTTACCACTGGTAGAAATTCATACTGAGGATGGGCTGTGGGATAGAGAATGTTACCATTCTTGTCTTTACAGGACCACAGAGACACAACTAGTTGTTCAGAATTGTAATTCCCATTGATTTGGATTTCACTGTTATGAATTTATGATTATTACAGACTACAGAAGTTGAAGGTTCTTTTTGGTCCTCTACAGAAAAATGGCTTGTTAAACAAATGGCCAATATAGGATTACAATGGGAATGTTTAATTTCCCCATGTGTTTAAATATCAATAGTGACTATGCTGTGCTGTTGGAATTGAGGTCAAATGGCAGCACTGAGAGTTACGTGGGTGTGTTTCTCTAAAACATTTCCTTTGACTGAGAAATTTTTCAGGTTAATTTACCAGAGCCAGCAGTCAGTCATTGTCTAAGACCAGGGCACTCGAGGGATGCCATTGTGCAGTGTCATTTCACAGCTGATGTTCCGATTAGTTGTACCCAAAGTCGTAGAGCACCTGCCATGATGTTTCCTCCATATCTTTTCACACGGACACTCCTCTTTCCCACAGATAAAGAGCAAGAAGACCAGGCTCCTGCAAAGTGACTACATGAACATGACACCCCGGCGGCTTGGGCCGACGCGCAGGCACTACCAGCCCTACGCCCCAGCGCGAGACTTTGCGGCCTACCGCTCCTGACACGGAGGCCTATCCAGAAGCCAGCCCGCCGGCACTCCTCCACCTGCTCAACACCATTGCTCTGGATAGGAAAGGATGGTCTCCTCGGTAGCCGGCCACCGTGGGCCCACTTCAGGCACTAATGCCAGTTCTCCTTATGCACCTGGACCAAATATCAGGGATCCTCTTGAGACTCTGAGAAGAAGTTACAGAAATTTCCTGTGGCAGGCCACATTTTATAGTGCCATGACCCAAATTCACATTTATCCTAGCTTGATTGAGAAGTTCAAATTGAAACCCAGAAAAATGAATGGATTCTGAAAGCCTTGTGGTCTGCTTCCAGGCTGCTGGCTGAGCCTTTCTCACCTTTACATCTCAACCAGCAGAGCTGGTCCCTAAGGATACTTACACAGAAATCATTCCCTTCTGCTAACGGGGTGGTAGCAGTGAGGCCAGCTTAGAATGAGGGAGAGGTAGAGATACTTACATATTTAAAAACCATTAAAACACAGTTTCCTACATTATACAATGAGCCACTTTTTTCCTTCTTAATGTTGTCAGTCTTTTCTGTCTGTTTAGGGAGATGTAGACATTACCTTTGAAGAATCGCACCATGTTTAATGACTCTGCCCAATAGAATTCCCTCAAAGCAATGCGAGGCAGACCCACTCGCCTTCTTCACCCTTCCTGATGGGAATTCATTGTTAAGGTTCACAATGTGATTTCAAAAGGATGAAATAGTCCTCCTCCCACACTGCTAAGAGTGTGTCAGGAAGTAAGGTTGCTTTATACTAAAAATAGTTGAATGCTGTGAAGGGTTGTTTGTCTAAGAGCTCATTCCAGTCAGACTGTCTGTTTCGGCTTTGCGGGGCTGGTCTCTTCATGGTCTGTGTGGAGATCTGAGGAGGGGCGGCTGGCATAACATCTGCAGGAGATAGGTGCAGTGATACCCGGGAAGGGGATGTTATCGTCTACTCATTCATGAGTTGCAAGAATCTTCTTCTGAAGGGAGATGGATGGAAGGGAGTGGGGCAGTTTTTGCCAGGTGCTGAGCAGTGGCAGATGTTAGGCGGAAGTTTTCCAGAAGGCACCAGACAGAGGGATCCCTAGAGAGAACTCTTTCACAGGAACTTCCAGTGCCCTGGGGTTCAGGGTTATAGAACTCTGTGGGGGCAGCTGCTTGTGTGCTCCTAATCCAAAATTATGGAAGGGGATTTTGGATGGTGTTTTTGAAGACAATTGAAAGTTCTTGAGAGGTTCTTCGAGGCCCAACTCTGGAATGATGATAAATAATTCTCAGCCTCCAGTTTGTGTCAAATGAAATATGCCTGGGACCTTGGAAAACAGCTCTTTCGCCTTTCACCTGTTCAATGCTTTGGTTTCTCCAGGTGTTAGAAGAGCCCGGGCTTTAGAGATAGATAACCCTGGTTCAAATCCCATGACTAGCTGAATGGCCTCAAGCAAGTCACCGCTTATCCAAGACTGGTTTTTCAACTCTAAATAGAGATCATGGTCACAAATATCTGTTTCTACACCGTAATCTCCACGAAGGTGTGACTATCTCTGTCTTTTCATTACTTGTCCCCATGGCATTTAGCGCCATGCCAAACATATAGCTTTTATTATTATTGCCACATATATAAATTATGTATAAAATCAAATTGGACAATGACCTAAGAAGGGAAGGAAATGATAACATAAATTTAAACTAAAAGTTATGAGGAGCTATGAAATATGAAAACCTCTTAACTTCCATCAGTCTCCTATTTCTTAGGCTATTTTATCTTGTGATAAGACAGGGTATTTCTCCTCTACTTTTTGTATATAAGAAAGTTTTAACTTTTCTTTTTTTTAATGTGGGGGAGTAGGAGATGGGGAGGAATCTTTTGGTTTCAGACAAGAAATGTTGTACTCCGGTTGATTTTTCAATGAACTTCCATTCCAAGCACTTAATTCAAGGAAGGTCAGACTCAGTAATACCTGAGTGCCAAAGGACTATGAGTACAGATTTGTGTTTGTGCCGGTGGGCAGCTTCTTGGTACACAGAGCTCTTCAATCCGGGCCATCAGACTATGCTGGAGAAGTTGTAGAAGGAGCTGTGACAAATAAATACTATTTTTAAATGGAAAGATTTGATCTTTGGTAATACATGGTTTTGTTTTTCTGACTGGAAAAGTAGGTTCACCAAAGATGAATCACACTTGAGATTTCTCTTACTCTCAATAGGACTGAAGCAGAAATATTGTACAGGGAAGTTCATTTTCACTTTTAGTGTGAACCAAGAAATGATGTAAGACAGTGGTTGGAGTAATGCTTTTTGCGTTTCCAGGTATGGTTATAATTATAAAGAAAAACAATGTCATTTGCTGCTGTTATTGTAAGTGCCTTGTAATTAATAGTATTCCTGGAATTGTGAACTCAACTCTTTGGGGCTGCACATGCCAATTTAAAGAGACCAAATGTACATTACCTTCTGTGCACTGAGTGATAAAATTACTAGATTCTCAAGTGTCTTTTTAAATTTGTGCGTTAATTCTGTCTTTTGGGGCAGGTATACATCACTTTGGCAATGCATCTAGAGAAAGTTGGCTACCTAAAAGAAGTGTCAGGTAAATTCTTTCACAAGTGTAATTTAGCCTTTCTTCCTTTTGTTTTTTTAAGACCAGACATTTGCATATTAATTTTACCTCTAGCGAGCTACCCTTCTGATTTGTTTGCTTGGCTTCAGTCTCAGTTTCTCATCAGACCAATGATCTGCCTCTTTTGGGCGTCAGGCTGGGCTGCCTGTGCATTCTGTCTAGTGGGAGGGCTCTGTGAAAGTTTGAACTGCAATCTTGAGTCCATCATTCCCCAGGTTAACGGATTTACCGGTGGGCATCATTATTTTGATGGTCAAGTGGATGTCTGATCCTTCATCGCAGATTTTTCTACTGCCAGATGGGAACAACATCAGGCTTGGGTACTGGCCCCATACTAAATTCAGATACATGATGGGTGCAGAACCAGGATCATCACTGCTATAAACCCGCCATTGAGCCAGGCCAAAGGCAGTGGCACGGGTGATCTCAAGACCTGCTCTGCAAGTCCGTGGCATCTGCGAGGCTACGTGAAGTTCAGCAAATCTGCCGCTGATGAGCAGGCGGCACCTTCCCACCTTAGCTCCTTCCCCTAATCCGTGTCTCTGTCCAGAACGTGTTTCCCAGGTGGCTGCCTCGCTCCCTGAGCTGCTTCTGGTCTTGGCTCAAGTGTTCCCTTCTACTCTAATTAACTTTCTTCACACTCTGCCTCCTTTCCTAGGCTGCTTTTCTCCATAGCATTTTGCCATCTCTTGTACTAGATATTTTACTTATTTATTTATTTATTTAGTTTCCCCAGACTGAATTGTAAGCTCCACAAAGGAAAAACCTCCGTTTTGTTCATTGCTGGAATTGCAGTGCCTAGGGTAGTGCCTGCTATACAAGAAATATTGATTGACTGACTAAATGAAGTTCATGTGAGTTTATAAATTAATGGTCAGTCTTAATGATTTAATGGAGAGCTGCTTCTGTTTTTCACTTTCCTGGTAATAAGGCTAACAACTCATTAGAGAAGCATGTATCTATCTATCTATTTATCTATCTATCTATTCAAATTTGGTGAAGGAAAATGTAATGGATATAAGTTCCTTTACATTTTGTTCCTTTACAATTTTTTATGTAGTGAAAAACACTAGTACTGTTTAAGAATCATTCCCAAAAACCATGTCAAGTGAACCACAATCAGAAGTAAGTTGATTATCCGTAGAAGTCCCCTAATTCTCTCTTAATGGATTATTGATGATGTTTTAAATCTATCATTAGTCCCAGACTTCCAAAAATGTTTTTATAGTTAAATCTCATCCCTCTACTGAACCGCTGCTCTTTTCTATGGAGTCATTTTACTCCCAAAAGTCTATAAATGCCTTGCCCCGCTTGAATTAAAAAAGACCTTAGAAATGGGAATGCCAAGGACAGAAAATGTAAAAATCTTTGCCTGTCATGTTCCTGTCATAACTGAGCACTGTAATTGCTTGCAATAGTTTCAAAATAAGAGAAAAACAACAAACAAATGAAACGTAGCATTTGGAGCAAGTTGGAAATTCAAAACAGACTTCTTATATTAATTCCTTAACACACTTTGCATCCTGTGAGTAGAGGGAGCTGTAATAGGCTGTCTGATAACTCACTTAGCAGCCTATTTCCTTGGTTGAATGAGGCTTATTAATAAAGGCAACTAAAACTTGAAAATGATGAGCCAATGTGTCTCCTACTAATCAAGAAAGGCTAAAAACTCAGCTAGTCACACATGGAGGTTCAACAGGACAAATCAAAGCAGTTGAAAAGGGAAAAGAAAGAGAAAAACTCAGTCATTAAATCTGCTCAATAAAATTGTACCATCTATTTCTAAAAAATGTTCTAATTCCAAAATGTAATAAAATGAAAACCACTTGATCCAGCAGACCTTCCACTAAGTTTTAGCTACACGACCATATGAACTGTGTCATTGTGCACAACCCTGGTTCACTTTTTCCCCTAGTCTGATAAACAGATTCCTTTAAGCAATCACCTCTGTCCTCTTACTTCTCTGTAAGGAATGAGAAAAGTCAAAGAAATGTCTGGCCCCCTTGCAGTGGGGGCCTGACTTCTGCACCAAGCAGCAGCAAAGGGTCTGGGAAACACACTGGAGGCTTGATGGGGGAATGACATTCCCAGTGTGTGTCTGCATCTTCTGGCACACAGTCTTGGCAATGGTTCGGCTCTTCAGGGATGCAGCCAAAGAACCTCTCTATTTCCTTTGGTTTAGCATCCTACCGCAGGAGCGTGCTTTTCTTTCAAAGATTCACAGGCTCCTTGCACTTAGAAACCCAGGCCAAGGTCCAGAGCAGAAAGGGCACACTTTTTCAGCATGCCTTTTATTCATTTCAGGGTGCTCATATTAGTCTAATACTTGAAAATTGCCTAGGGTGACATTTTGGTGATGTAAGACTACATCAGTTTCTCCAAGCTGACCTGATTCTTGCAGCAATGCTAAGGCCAAAGCATGTGTTCTGAAAGGGCCACCTTCCTATTCTGGTTGCATGTTTAAAGCATGTGAAAGGGTTTGGAATCCTGCAAATTCATGGGACAAGAAGCTGTAGAAAGATAGGATAGGATTTGTTGGATTTTACTTAGACTTTGCTGGACAGAGATATCTTGATGACAGATTTAAACTCCTTTTGTCTCCAAAGAACAAACTGTGAGCTGAGTGGAAATGTCAGTTGAAACAGAAGAGCAGCAAACATCTTTGTTTTCCTATAGTTGTGGTTTTACATGGCGATGATGACACATGAAGACGAAAATGCACAACGTGAACTCCAGTCGTTATCTGAGTGAGCATCTCTGCCAGCACTGAAGGATATGTGTGGGTGTCACTGAAGGGGGGTGGGGAGGGAGGGAGGAATAGAGAAAGAGACAGACACACGGAAAGAGAGACAGAGACAGAGACACACATAGAGGAGACGGAGAGGCTTAGAGTGGGGGCTGGTGGCTCTGGAAGGAGGAGTCAGTTAGCAAAGATCAACAGTGACAATGATGCTGTTTATTTCAAGAGCTTGACAATTCCTTTTCCCTTTTCTCACTAACTTCTATATCTGAATTGAGTCTCTGAACTAAGTCAGTGGACCTCTGCTGCCTGGGGAAAAGTGCGGAAAAGATGGAGGAGAGCAAACATCAGGGCAGTTGCCATGTTACTTAGGCTTTCCTCAGTCTCCTAGGCACACGTAGCATTTGGAAGACTGGCTTCCAAAGAAGGCCTTTGCACTGACTCTTGGAACTTGTGATGTGTTGCCCAGGGCAGACCAGCTGGAGTCTTCGCTGGGCACCTCCTTCACTCCCACAGCACACACTCCCTCCACCCTCTTCTCTTCCTCTTCATTCATTCAGCAACTTCTTAATGAGCACCTCCCCAGCTCCGAGAAGTGGGCTAAGTATTTAGGATGTGGCGGTGAGCAATGCCGATGTGTTTATCTCTGATCTTATCAAGTGTAGAAAGTATAGTCTCTCTCTCCTCGGTATCTCTTTTTTTCCTGTCTGTCTCTTTCTCTCTTTCTCTTCTTTCTTTTTGTCTGTCTGTCTTTCTTCTCATTATACTTTTCAGGATAATCATTTAATCTTGACTGTGGGACTCTGATCTTAATAAGATTCCTTGTTAGCTTTGTCTTTTTGGTTTGCCTGAAGTTTCTCTGTGATGTCCTCACTTAGCATGTTCAACACCTTTTAGACCAGGAATAGACCCACACCTTATCCCCCAAAGTGGAAATGCTGGCCTGAAGGTCAACACTGTAGGCTTTGTGACTGTATAGTCTTTTTACAGCTACTTGAAAGTCCAGCATTGTAGCGTGAAAACAGTCATAGACAATATGAAAACAAATGAACTATTTGCATTCCAACACATCTTTATTTATGGATATTGGTATTTTAATTTTTTATTATTTTCCTGTCAGGCAATATTATGATTCCTTTGATTTGCCCTCAACAATTTGCAGGTGTAAAAATCTATCCTTAGCTCATGGCTGTGCATGAAGGCATGTGGTGGGCTGTGCTTGGCCTGTGGGCTGCAGGTCACGAAGCCATGGCTTCAGCTGCAGGACCTGCCTTCCCGCTCCTGATCTAGGCTGTAAGGGATGAGCTGGGTGCATGGAAGCCTTCTTGGGAGTGATGTGAAGTATCTGTTTTAAAATGAGGACATAGAAGAAGGAGGAGGAGAAGGAAGAAAAGGAGGGGAGGAGAAAGAGGGAGACGAAGAGAAGGAGAAGGAAGAGGAGGAGAGGAGCAGGAGAAGTCTCGAGAAGGAGGAGGAGGAACAGGAGAAAGAGGAGCAGGAGGAGGAGGAGAAACTTCATTCAAGGGAAAGCCATTTTAGAAAGATGAAATGGGAAGTCAAAAGCAGTAAGAAGCTGTTTCATCATGGCAGGTTCCTCCATAAATTATATTGCTAAGAGCCTAAAAATCTTGAATTGTGGTGATACTTCTCTCAAGTCCTCTCTATTTCTTCTCTTTTCTAGGCATCAAGTCCTTGTAATCTCTAAGGAATCAGAGTAAATTTTTATTTAACATAGACAGGAGGCAGAAAATGGCTGTGTCTCATGCAACAAAAGGGACCTATTCCTTGCGAATTCACCTGCACGGGGCACACCAGCTGCAGCTTGGGAGAGTGGAGTGGAGACCAGAAGCAGCTGTCTCAGGACCTCCCTCCTGAGTTATTACCTGCTCACTTTATCAGTCCACGCTGTGCTACCATTTTTACGAGCAATCAAGAGTAACCCCACCCCCAATCTAAACTAAGGCTCAGAATTTCACAGATAACTGGTGAAATTGTCTTTACTGACACCACAAAGGCACTGACCAGACTTTCATCATCCCTCATCCCCACCTCCCAGTCAGATCTACAGCTGCTGGTTACACCCAAGGTACAAATAGTTCTTCCTGGAAACAACCCAATACATCGGGGAC